AGTTTTATGGACAAAAACCACCAGGTCATTCAGTGTTCCCTTAGGGCCAAAATATAACAGATGTTGGTGTACTATAACTGAAGTAATGATGTTAAGTCCTTAAAGTCATATTCTTTTATTGTCATGACTGTATTTGCAGCTATTTTTATTTTTGTATGATACCTGATTTATATGGATTATGGCTGAAGTAAACTAAAGCCTAAAATACTTAGTCATTTGTTTAATAGTAATTTAACATTATATAATTCACATATAAAACTATGAATTGTGATTTTAAATGGTTTAAAAGCACGTAGAATAGCATATGTAGGCAAGTATATTTCTCCTCTTTCTATTAAGAAGCAAAAACCAAAAGGAAAAAAAAAGAAACAGGGCAGAGTTCAGTGGTTGAATCATCCGTCCCCACCAATGCCAAAACCAAATCTACGCCTTTGTTGTGATGTCTTACTGAGGACACTCGACGTCAATGTGGTATGTGGTAAAAGTTATGTCTCTGAACAGAAGAATGAATAGAAGAAAAGAACTAACTTTTGAAATCCTGATCGTGGAGTACTTAAAGAAAAATAATATAAGGGATTGAGCTACTTTATGCTGGGGAGTCTAACAGCTGCATCCCCATTTTAAACCAATGTCAGAAATGGCAACAGTCTGTTGAAATAAATCAACTTTGTCACACATTTAGCAATAAGTCCAAGTTTAATGACATTGCTCAGTTTTTCTTGGACTCAGTAAATGAACTTTTTCTTCATTAGCCATTCAAATAATACAGGGGATGCTATACGCTTTATATATGGACTTCTGAAGATCCACAAGATGCATGTGGGTTATACCCATGAAAACCTTGCCAATCTTCTCTGCCAGTGACAAAAACGTATTCTGCTACTGACTCTTGTTGGGTGCTGTTTATTGAGTTGGATAATTGAAGACATATTGGCAAATAAATAATTTGTTAATTTAATAAGCAAGGGCCTCGGTATCATATGGAAGAACTATACAGCCTGGCACCTCCCCCTCATGCTGGTCACCAGCTTGGTCACACACTGCTGTGGGATGGCATTCCATTCTTCAACCAGCTGTTTTGCAAGTCAGCCTGTGTAATTGTGTTAGTCATTCTGGCTTGAGCAACATGTCCAAGCTGATCCCACAAATGTTCAATGTGGTTGAGATCAGGACCGCAGGTAAGCGATAGCATCCTCTCCAAATTCTGGTGGTAGTGTCCAATAAACTCCACTCTGTGGGGGTGAGCACTGTCAAAGTTCAGTCCCAGACTGTTGAGATATGGGATTGCCATAGAGATGGCCTCCAATGATGATAAATCTTGTTTTTACAGTGAGGGAGATGCCGCTGAACACAATCACACTGTCTCCAGCAAAAGCTGTTACCAATGAACATAGCATTCTCTGCATCTTCTCCACACTGTGATCCAACTGCCATAGGCAGAATCTGGACTCACATAAGGTTCCTCCACATTTTCAGCTTCCAGTGAACATGTTGTCAAAGCAAGAGTCAATAGCAGACTAAGGTGTTTAGTATTGGCAGAGAAGATTTGGTAAGTTTTTCATGGACTCATCCCACATACTCAACTCTGCTATTCAACCCACAGATATATTTTCCTTACAAATGTGGCACCATTTAAAGGGAAATAACAGGCTTTCCAGTATAAGATTTATTGCCAATTAATGTTACAACAAGAAACAATTGAGCATGCACACATTTTCTTACTCTTTAAGAAAGTTTAGTTTTGTTTGCCTCAAGACATAGCTCAGGTACTGAAGCTGGGCTTTACTTACCTTACTTACTGTCAGTGTTGGTCAAGTTACTTGAAAAAAGTAATCAGTAACTAATTACTTATTACTTGACCAAAAAAGTAATCCTGTTACTTTACTGATTACTTATTTTCAAAAGTAATTAATTACTTAGTTACTTAGTTACTTTTTAAAAACACGATTTACAACCTGAATAGGTGATAAAGCGATAGATCTTTCAGCCCAATTCTACTTTTTCTGCATAATCCATCATACAAATGTAATCAAAT